TAGTTATTTATCCGTTAGTATAGCTAGGTTAACGTCTACGTGCGGGGGTATATTAGAGTTATACGTTTATTCTGTCGTGGTGATAGGAGAGACGGGGGTAGTATTAGTGGTAGTAGTAGAGGTAGTGCTAGCGAAAGGAATAGAAGTAGTAGTAGGTGCAGGAGTAGGAGCGGGTCTAGGAGTAAAGGCAGTGGCAGAAACAGGAGCCGTGTTAGTTCCCGGCGTATCCCCGTTATATTCCCCTTCTATATAGTTATAGGTATCTTCTATAAAGGCGGTTTTGCTATCGCGGAGCTATCGCTTAAACTAGCTAGTAGCCTTATCGAAATTAAAGGTAGGATCGTTTATCTCGTAATAGTTAGATATCTTAGTAACTCTCCTTAATAGTCTTCACGCCCTTAGAGGGTAGAGCGATTAAAATATTAAATAGGTAGTCGTAAAGAGTAAAACGGTAGGGTTAAGTAAGGAACCAGGTATAATCACGATAGGATCATAATAGAGTTAGAATATAGGTATAGCCAAAGAATTAGATTAATCGCTAGCCTCCCTTTTCTAAAGGGAGGCTCCTCCGCTCCTTAAGGCTATACTCCGCTACTCCTCGAGGACTACTTTAATTGCTTCCTTAAGGGCTGCCTTATTTACTTCGAGGGACTATTCTATTTACTAGTGTGATAACTACTTTATTTATACCTCGAGGGGTCTTAGACTAGACACGCCTAGACCCCCGTGGGTTCACACTAGGGACCTATTATAACCACTGCTACAGGCACCTAATATTATATTAGAGGTAACCACTTTATCGGCTTGATCTTGGATTAAGAAACCTGGGTTATATACGTATATAATAGTATATAGCTCGACGGAGGAGCTAAGAAGCATCTACTAAAGAGCTTCCGAGGAGCTATAAGTTAGCTACGGTATATTAAGACGCCTAAGGAGGCTATAGATAGCCTAATTAGGAAATTCTATATTATCTCCGGACCCTAGGAGAAAGACACGTATTCGTGTAGTCTATTCGTTAGTGAATAGATTCGTTCTATTATTTAGGAGGGTTACTTATTTCCTACATCCTTTAGGCTATATCGGCTATAGGATGGACGCTATTATACCACTGATAACGCTAGTTATATATAGTATATCTGGTATAGTTAGTTAAACTATATAGGCGAACTCTTCGGCTTCGGCTACTAGCCTAAGCTAGCTTTTAAGTAACCTACCCCGACCTCTAACCTAGCTCCTACTACTACTCCTATTATAACCCCCTCCTATAATCCGCCTAGAATAACGGGTCTTAAGCCTATTAATAAGAAATAGACGCCCGTTAACCCGCCTAAAGGACCGAAGACACTAAAGACACTTAAGGCGCCCGAGACCCCTTAGATAACTAAGCAGAAGTCCCTTTCCCCTGATTAGGGATTAACTAAAGTCCCGACGTTCGATAAGGATAATAGCGGCGCGTTTCTAGAACTAGGTAACCTTAAGCTTACCACCCCTAAGCATAAGAAGGTCACTAAGGAATACACGCCCTTAACTGCCGAACCCTCCGCTATTATAATACCGCCTAAGTCTTATAAAGCTTAAGCCCCTGCCGGTTCTCCTAATTAGAAGAAGATAGAGCTAAAGAAGTAGCCTTAGCCCGCTCCTATTAAGATTAGTTCGGCTATTAGCTACTATACGCACGAGGGAGAGGACCTTATTAATTTTACCATAAGGACCGATATATAGAGTAAGTAGGAGAAGGATTAAGCATACTAAGGTTATAGTCTAGAGATATCTTATAGCCTGCTATTCTATAGGCTAATTAAGATAAGGAATATACCGTTTAGACCGAGTAACTATAGCCGGGAGGATTAAGTCTAATCGTTTAATGACCCCTATAGAGCCGCCTTATAGGATACCGCTGCTAATAGTAGTGAGTATCTCCCGCTATTATAAGTAGTGGAGTAAGGAGGCTAGTAGTGTTATAATACCGTTATCGAGTAGGAGGCAGATAAAGCTACTACTAATCAGGAAGCTAAGAAGGCTAGCGAGCCTAATTATATAGTCGGAGGAAGAATATTACGAAAGCGTAAGTAGAGGTATATATAGAGGATTAGATAAGAGACGTCTTAAGGATATAGCCGATAAAGATAGTAAGGGAACGGTATATACAGAGGAACTAGAATTAAGAGGATCCCTAATCAGGTATACGTGGAGGACGGGGTGATTAGAGGAATAAGGGTATATAATAGCTCTTTACTTAGTTTATTTACTTATATCTACTTGTTTTTAGGAGTTATCTACGTTACGAGGGCGTAAACGAGATAACTAGGACCGTATTATGACCGCGTAGACACGGTTTTAGAGTGGTTTAGCAGGTGGTTATATGACCCCGTTTTTAAGACTACGGGGTCCACCTCCTATATATATATATTAAGGACAGGCGCCGGATATCCCTATCGAGGGACTAATATATAATCAATATCCTCTTTTATAATTACTTACCCTACGTTTAAGATATCTTTCTAGTTTCACTTACGTTACCCTAATCAGAATAGTGACTACCGATCTACTTCTTCGCTAAAGGTTATAGCGGTGTTAGTTATATTTTGGTTATATATCGTGGTTTTGCTGGACTGACCTCTTTATCTGATCTTTGTCTTGACGATCTGGTGCCACTACGTCTTTATCTGGTTATACTATAACGCGACGAAATCCCTCGCCTACTCCGGGAGAGATAAGGTTATAATTAATAACCTTAACCCTAACCTCTTATAGCCTGCTTACCCTACCCTATTTAGTAAACCCACGGCCTGCCTTATTATCACGTACTTACCCGTTATATACGTGATAATACGCTACTCGAGATCCGGTCTTTTAATCTATACTAGCGGTAGGATCGAGATTAGATTAACGCGTAGGATCGCGATAACGAAGGAAGCACTATTAAAGGCGGAGATACGCTTAGCCCCTCCACGCCTTAATTACCCTTAAATCCTATAATCGTTCGTGGAAAAGGCCGCCTAAAAGGCGCTATTATAATATCGAATTCGAGCTATACGAGAGGCCACGGGGCGAGTAGTATACAGAGACTACCCTCTACTTTTAAGATAGTCTAAGTAGAAGAACGGAATAAGGTAATTACCCCTTTATCCACGGCGCCTCCGGCGCTCCCTACTATTAATATATACGAGCCGGGGACTATAGCTCCACGTAGGAGCTATCGGATCTACGAAGAGGAGGCTAAGGCCGAGGCCGAGGCAGAGGAGGATACCCTTATTAACTCCCTCGAGTATCTATATATCACGATTTCGGCAGAGTTTAAAGGTCCTATCGATACACTACTAAGACAGATTAAGGAAGAGGCACTATAGGAGGCTCTTAAAGAGCTCGCGGAAATAGATTAGCTAGCTGCTTAGGTTATTATTATTATTATTATTATAGTATTACCTTAGATATAATTAACGAAAATTAACTATAGTTTAATTAAGGGTGGTTAAATATAATAGTATATAACGGTATATACTTTATCCCCGCCGGACCTCGTTTTAGTACTATGAAATAGGGGGTTTATAGGTAAGGGGACTTATGTTATCATGGATCCACATTTCAGGGCTCAATAGTAAAACGTCCGGGCGCCGTAATCCTTCCTAATAATAAGCAATCTTGCTTGTGGCTTTACCGTGCCACATCATGAAATGACCAGTTTGTGCTGTTCGCCTTATACCTACGGCGAACCTTATGTACAAGCGCAAAGGCCGGTTTCCCATTGGAGACAGATCCGATTACCTTAGTCGGCTTGGCAGACGACGGCTCGTATGTAAGTATGCTGTACGTTGTATGCTGCATATGGGCACGGCCACGGTCACGATGGACACGGGAAAAGGAAGCGAAAAAGGGGGGGCTGATGTTTTCTGGGCTTTGAAGTTTTGGGCAAACGGGACGCAACCAGGACAAAAGGCCGAGCTGATCAACCCACGCTGGGCGAAGGGGGCTGTACAACAACGTGCGAATGACATGTAGCACATGGGCGACCTTCAATAGCAAACAAAACCATGCCACCTGTGATTGGCCTGTGTCTTTGGGTGTTATACACGTTAGATTCGGGGATTCGGATTCATAGCAATGGAATACCGGAGGGAGATACTGTGGGCAGACTGGGCCGTGGAAGGGAACTGGTGTCGACTCGACCCTGGCTACTACCTTACGTGTATAACCTTTTCCGCACTTGACGCGTTGATGATGTAAATGGGATCGACCTTTCCAATCTAGTTGGAAGCGTGTCAAGTCGTCCACGAAGAGTTCAGGGTACGAGATGAAGCCGCGGCGCCAGCACATCCCGTCCGTAAGGTAGTGGGCAGAAGGCGGTGGCTTAGGGTCTTCCTTTCGTTGGTCCCACGCGTGCGGACATTGTGGCGATGATCTTCCGTGCCGCGCAGCCGCTGTGACCATGCAGGGAACCCGAACAACCAACCGTGCGGTAGCCATCCCGCATCTGTTTGAGGGAGCATGGAGTATCCGTATGTACGTGTACGTCTACCTACCATAAGGTAGGTACCTAAGCTAGAGTTACCTACCTTATCATTAAGGTATGAGATCGAGGTACCTTATGGTACTCTGTAACTTTGTACCTTATGATCGACGAATTCTGAAAGAAATGTACCTAGGTACCTTAAGGAACCTTAATAACCGCGAAAAGTATTTCGATACCTACCGTAGAGGGGTATAAAGGAGTACCTACTCTGCTATCACCCTCCTCACACCGCTGGACGAAGGCACTTTAGGTACCTACCCTAGGTAGGTACCTAAGGTAAGTGTCGGTACCTTAAGAACCTGATAACGGCGAGCCAAGACAGCGCCCCCCACATGTCCTGTCCTAACTGAACTGCCACGCCCCAAATTCCGCCCATCCACTTTTGCTGCGTCTCCGTACTTCGTAGGTACCGACCCCCCACTTCGCTGCCTCGAGTCCCACGAGTCCCACTTTCCCCTTTCTCCCCCTCCCCGCCAACCTGTTAATCAACACGCCGCGTGAATTCGTAATTATAAACTCTGGCACAGCTACTCTGTAGCTCCTTCGACCAACAACACCTCGTGAAAGTCCCTGGTCGCATGGTTTCCTTTGCTCTACGGAGTACCTTCCTTACTTACGCCAAAACCTTCTTTCTTGCCCCACACCTCAGTTCGAAGCCCCTCGCTCCCTTTGTTCTCCCCCGATTTGGGCGGTCTCTGGGTTTTTCTTGCCCTGCCTTACATTCTCCGTACGGTACACTCGAGATTCCCGATGTCTTGATATACGAACCATTCCTCCATCAAAAGCTCTGTTCCCTCGCCGGCCGCCTCTCTTACTTCGCCCCACCCCACCTCATCTATTCCGCACAAGAAAGCTGCTAGACAGGCACTGTATCTCAACATACCTTAGTTACCTTCGTCCCGAAGACGCATGCGCCATCGTTACCTCATCTATATCCTTCCGAGAACCACCCCTCAAGATCATCTTTGGAGCCCGGAAAATGCACAACCGGGGGAGGCCAATCCCCGCTCTGTCTGACCTTGTCGAGTATGATCACACGGTTGCTGGACAGTACGTCGTCCCGCTCTTCTGCTCTTCTCCTTCTCCTTCTCTTTCGTCGTGCGCCTCGATATAGAGTCCGTGACTGACTTGTCTTTTCTCTTCACCCAGCGCCGGACCAATGTGCGATTCCGACGGAGAACTATTTATTAAACCTTGCACACAGACGGAAATAGACTTCTACGAGGCGGCGAATGCGAATTACCCAGAGTTTTCCGACATTATGCCCGAATTCTACGGCATACTCAGCTTAACCGATGCAGCGGAGCTCTTGGAGGACCCCGCTGCCATCGCAGCCGACATCAACGTTCACAATCTCGTCGTCCAAGCTGGCCAGGAGAAGACCGACACGCCTACTGCTTCCTCCAGCGCCGTCGCCGAGGCCAAGAATGACAAAGACAGCATCGTTTGGATCCCCAACAAGGCCAAGAAGATCAAGACAGACCAGTCTGTCGTGCTCCAGAACGCCACGAAGGGCTTCGCCCGCCCCAACATCCTCGATACCAAGCTGGGGAGGCGCCTATGGGCCGACGATGCCCCGCTACAGAAGAAGCAGCGTTTCGACAAGATAGCGTCCGAGACCACCCACGCAGCCTTGCACTTCCGCATCGCGGGCATGCGCGTCTACCGCGGGTCCACCACCAAGTCGGAGCTGAATGCGCAGGGCTATAGGATTTACGACAAAGACTACGGCCGTTTCACCGTGAACACGGACAACGTCGCCGACGCCTTCCGCACCTTCGTCTTCAACCCGACCGCCGGCATCGACGCCGACCTCGGTCGCGCCGTGGCCCAGGCCTTCGCCCGAGACCTGCGCCGCGTCGCCGACGTGCTCCGCCGCCACGAAATCCGCATGTACTCGGCCAGCCTGCTCTTTATCTTCGAGGGGGACGGCGACAAGTTGCGGGAGGCCATCGAGGCCAACAACCGAGCCGTCGAGGCCGTCGCGTCTGCGTCTGCGTCTGCGTCTGCGACCGAGAAAAAAGAGACGGCCAAGCCGGTTCCTACATCGCTGCGCGTGGATAGTGGCATTGCGCTGATGGCTGAAGACGAAGCCCATGATGGTGATGCCGACGTGGACAACGACGAGGGTTACGATGACGATGACGATGACGAGGACCAGCTCTCCTCCCTGCCTATGATATACAAACTGAAGCTGATCGACTTTGCCCATGCGCAGTGGACCCCTGGCTTGGGTCCCGACGAGAACGTCCTCATTGGTGTCGAAAAGCTGATTGAGATTTTTGAGAAACTGGCTGCATGAACCACAACGGTAGAACAAAAAGGGGCAAAAGAACACAAACCAAATCTTAACAGCATCACTGGGATTATGACGGAAGATCAGAATGGAAAGCGGGCGTTGCCTTTGCCTTGCGAACATACGGCCGGACCTATTTGATCATGACAGTCCGAGCGTGATTGGGAGAAGAGGAAGCACCATAAAGGTTCATGAAATAGTTCCCCCCTGGGACATAGCGATTGGCTTCATGAGAAGGGACGCTAGGCCCAAAATCGAGCTACCTACCTTATAGCGTACGCTCTGAGAGATGGGAAAGAAGATGCAGGTGTCTCCTTTGCATTGTTTGATGGCGCTGGGCGTTTGGCTGTCCCGTAAGGTATTCTGCTACAGGAATTATCCCTATTCAGCGTAAATGATTCTATTGCTTGCCTCCATGAATACCGGCTGTCTCGCTCTTAAGTGATTGGTCTCTATGAAAGTCGGGGTTTACGTTTTCTGGCCTGGCTATGGATGTGCATGGCTTGCGACATCCTCGTGACTTGACCTGGATCATCATGACAGACTCATCATAAACTCCCTCACCGGCTCGGTGTACGGAATAATTATGTAATACTTGGCACTGTCATGCCGTACTTAGTAAGCATTGCTTCGTGGATCTCAGTACACGTAAAAGTGCGAATACAACAACGGGAAATAGGTACCTACCTTTGGTACTCTCGTAGTGCCTGTACGTACCTGCCTTAGGTAAGGTACAGGTATTCTTTGCAGTGTTTCTGTCTGGTATCGCGATATCTTTCTTCGCCCCTCCCCTCCACCTGAATCGTCTTTCCTCATTCTCCTCTACAACGACGCGACCGATGCCAAAATGGACGATCTTCTGGAGCTCGAGTACCTCTCGCTCGTGTCCAAGGTCGCCTCTGAGTTCCAGAACCATCTCGGAATAGCCGACAAGACCCTTGCCGAGTTCATCATCGCCCAGCGGGTAGAATGCGCAGACTCGGGATTCGAGGGCTTCAAGAAGAAGCTGGAGTCCATCGGTGCCGATTTCCCTCCCAGTCTTGTCGAAAGTATTGACCGGCTTGTACTTGCCCTGCACCCGAAGCTCAAAGGAAAGGGCAAGCACCAACGGAACGGCGCCGGTACCGACGAACAGGACCAACACCAACATCACCACCACCGCACCGCTGCCGAGAACGAGCAGATCTTCAAGGGCCTCGCCGTGCCAGACAAACAACCTGCGTTTGACGACGCGGATGGAGAAGGCGGCGGCGGCGGCGATGCCATCGACGACACCCTGGCACTATTGGAAGGCTTGGAAAGCAAGGCCCGAAAAGAGAAGGCGTCGTCGCGGAAACGAAGCCGGAGCCCCGAGGATGCGCGCGACTCTAGGCGGAAACGAAGAGACAGGTCGAGGTCGAGGTCGAACGAGCGCAGGAGGGGAAGGGACAGATACCGGTCGAGATCGAGGTCGAGATCGTACGACGATGCCGATTCGGAATACCAGGGACCTTCGTTGAAGCAGAAGCAACGAAGCAGGCGACGATACCACGATCACGATCACGAAGACGAAGACGAAGATGACGACAGACTCACGCGACCGCCTGCGGCCGAACTTGACGACGCACCGCAGCTTCACAAGGTCTACGATGGACACGTCACGGGGATCAAGGATTTTGGCGCCTTTGTCAGTTTGCACGGCGTCCGGGGCAAGTCGGATGGTTTGGTGCACATATCGAGGATGGTGGCGGGACAACGCGTCAACCACCCGACTGATCTGCTATCCAAGGGCCAGGAAGTCAAGGTAAAAGTCGTCAGCATGGAGGGGAACCGGATAGGGCTGTCGATGAAAGAAGTCGACCAAGAGACGGGAATGGACCTGGAGCCGCACGCAAGGATACGGACCATGGCAGTGGCCGGGGCGACCGGGGCGAATGCCCAAGCCCTAGGAGGCGGGAACAATGGAAACATGTTCGGCGACGAGGACGACTCGGTGGCTCCGCCGCCGAACCAGCGCCCGCAACAGCAACGGCAACAACAACAACAACCCCAACACAAGAAGCGCATGACCTCCCCGGAACGGTGGGAGATTCGACAGCTCATCGCGTCCGGCGTTGCCAAGGCGTCGGACTACCCCGACCTGCAGGAAGACTACAACGCCACGCTGCGGGGCGAGGGCGACATGGAGCTGGAGGAAGAAGTCGACATCGAGGTCCGTGAAGAGGAGCCGCCGTTCCTTGCCGGGCAGACGAAGCAGTCGCTCGAACTGTCGCCCATCCGGGTGATCAAAGCACCCGACGGTTCCATGAACCGAGCCGCCATGTCGGGCACCTCGCTCGCCAAGGAACGGAAAGAGTTGAAGCGGCAGGAAGCGGAGGCGGCCGAACAAGAGGACAAGAAGATCGACCTCTCGACACAATGGAACGACCCCATGATGGACCCGGACAAGCGCAAGTTCGCGGCCGATCTGCGCACGGCCAGGCAACAGCAGGCCAAGGCCGACGCGGTCCCGGAATGGAAACGAGCCGTACAACCGAAAGACGAGTCCTACGGCAAGAGGACGAACCTGAGCATCAAGCAACAGAGGGAAAGCCTGCCCGTGTTCGCCTTCCGCCAGAAATTCCTCGATGCCGTGCGGGACCACCAGGTGCTCGTCGTCATCGGGGAGACGGGCTCGGGCAAGACGACACAGCTGACACAGTACCTGGCCGAAGACGGCTTTGCGAACAAAGGCATCATCGGGTGTACGCAGCCACGCCGAGTCGCCGCCATGTCTGTGGCGAAGCGTGTCGCGGAGGAAGTCGGATGCGGCCTGGGAGAGGAGGTCGGGTACACCATCCGATTCGAAGACCGTACCAGCCCGGCCACGAGGATCAAGTACATGACCGACGGCATGCTGCAGCGCGAGATCTTGATGGATCCCGATCTGAGGCGATACTCGGTGATTATGCTCGACGAGGCGCACGAGCGCACCATCTCGACCGACGTCTTGTTCGCGCTGCTCAAGAAGACGATGATCCGGAGGAAAGACCTCAAGGTGATCGCCACCTCGGCGACGCTCGATGCCGAGAAGTTCTCCAGCTACTTCAACGGCTGTCCTATCTTCACGATCCCTGGTCGAACCTTCCCCGTCGAGATCCTCTACTCGCGGGAACCCGAGTCGGACTACCTAGACGCCGCGCTGGTCACGGTCATGCAGATTCACCTCACCGAGCCGCCGGGCGATATCCTACTCTTCCTCACGGGACAGGAGGAAATCGACACGTCATCCGAAATACTGTACGAACGAATGAAGGCGCTGGGACCTAACGTGCCGGAGCTGCTCATTCTGCCCGTCTATTCGGCGCTCCCGAACGAAATGCAGAGCCGCATCTTCGAGCCGGCGCCGCCGGGCACCCGAAAAGTAGTCATCGCAACCAACATCGCGGAGACGTCCATCACGATCGACAACATCTACTTCGTCGTCGATCCCGGGTTCGTCAAGCAGAACGCGTACGACCCCAAGCTGGGCATGGACTCGCTGGTGGTGACGCCGATTTCTCAGGCGCAAGCCAACCAGCGAGCCGGCCGCGCGGGTCGCACGGGTCCTGGGAAATGCTTCCGCCTGTACACCGAGGCGGCCTTCCAGACGGAGATGCTGCCGACGACGATCCCCGAGATTCAACGGCAGAACCTGTCGCACACGATCCTGATGCTCAAGGCCATGGGCATCAACGACCTGCTGCACTTCGATTTCATGGACCCTCCGCCGATCAACACCATGCTTACGGCGCTGGAAGAGCTCTACGCGCTGAGCGCGCTGGACGACGAAGGGCTGCTGACGCGGCTCGGGCGTAAGATGGCGGACTTCCCGATGGAGCCGTCGCTGGCCAAGGTGCTCATCATGTCGGTGGACATGCAGTGCTCGGCGGAGATGCTCATCATCGTGGCGATGCTGAACCTGCCCAACGTGTTCTACCGGCCGAAGGAGAAGCAGTCGCAGGCGGACCAGAAGAAGGCCAAGTTCCACGACGCGTCGGGGGACCACCTGACGCTGCTGAACGTGTACAACGGGTGGAAGCGGTCCGGGTACTCGGCGCCGTGGTGCTTCGAGAACTTCATCCAGGCGCGGTCGATGCGGCGGTCCAAGGACGTGCACGACCAGCTGGTCAAGATCATGGAGCGGTACCGGCACCCGGTGGTCAGCTGCGGCAGCGACACGCAGAAGCTGCGGCGCGCGCTCTGCTCGGGCTTCTTCCGCAACGCGGCGCGCAAGGACCCGCAGGAGGGCTACAAGACGCTCATCGAGGGCACGCCCGTCTACCTGCACCCCAGCTCGGCGCTGTTCGGCAAGCAGGCCGAGTGGGTCATCTACCACACGCTCGTGCTCACCACCAAGGAGTACATGCACTGCACGACCACCATCGAGCCCAAGTGGCTCGTGGAGGCGGCGCCGACGTTCTTCAAGGTGGCGCCGACGGACCGGTTGTCGAAGAGGCGCCAGGCGGAGCGGATCCAGCCTTTGTACAACAAGTTTGCCGGGGAGGACGACTGGCGGCTCAGCGCGCAGCGGAGGGGGGGGAGGTCTGGTGGTGGTGGTACCTGGGGTTGATACTGTTGCTGTGTTGCTGTGTCGCGCCGGACGGACGGATTCTGGGACGAGTCGGGGGGATATAATTTACTTGATTTTTTTCTTTTTTTTTTCTTCTTTTTTAGAACCGGCATATTTTTGCCTGGAAGTGTGCCATTGCTAGAGAAAACAGGGGGGGCATGAGGCGCAAGATGCTTGATGATTCTTGTCCTCCACGAAACCGAGTTCAATATGTATGGCTCAGTTGATAGTTGCGTTGTAAAAGATTTCTGTATATAAACGCCGGTGTGAGGTCATGCCATCATGTACGTCTCTTCCCAAAGACTTCGGCCCTTCTGGTTGTCTCCGTCGTCAATTTTTGCTGATTCTGGATAAAAAAACATCGCCGTCCTCCACTTTATGCATGTCCTCCCCGCCCTCCCCCCCCCCCAACATCATCTTCTACCCTGCATCCCCCACGTCAGGTCTCGTCCTTCTTGACGGCGGGCTTCCGCCCAATGACGACAATCATGGGCCAATACGCATGGATAGTGCGATCGGCCATATCCCGGCGCGCCTGGGCGGCCAGCACGTTGACCTCGGTGGCGGACCAGCCGAGCCCGCGGGTGAGGGCGGCCATGAGGAAGCCCTGGAGGCCGGAGACGATGTTCTCGTAGTTCCAGGCGCCGAGCTCCTTGTAGTGGGGGTCGCGGGGCCAGGTGTTGGAGGGCCACTTGTAGCGGTGCTCGCGGACGTCTTCGAAGCCGGCGTGCTCGAGGAGGGATTTCAGGGTGTTGAGGTCGCGGAAGGGACGGCCTAGCTTGGCGGCGGCTTCGCCTAGGAGGGTCATGGACTGGTGCAGGGCGTGGTCTTTGGTGAGGGTCCCGTCGTCGGAGAGGGGGAGGGTGAATTCTTGGAGCTCGATGTAGCCTCCGGGGGCGAGGTTTCTGGTTGGGGTCGTGAGCATGTAAGCATGCATGGCTTGATGGTGAGGAAAGGGGGGATAGGAATTGTAAAGAAAAAGAAGAAGAAAAAAAACATACTCGTATGACCTGCGGATGTAGTCTTCCCAATTGGCAATGCTGGAGTTGTTCATGCGGCTGTGGATGTAGTCGAAGGGGCGCGAGAAAGTCCAGTCGTCCTCAAAATCGTCGATTTCGAACTTGACGTTTGGTGGAACACTAGACGAGACATATTAGCCGGGGAGAAGAAGAAGAAGAAGAAAAGGAAGAAGAAGAAGAAGAAGAAGAAAAGGAAGAAGAAGAAGAAGAAGAAAAGGAAGAAGAAGAAGAAGAAGAAAAGGAAGAAGAAGAAGAAGAAAAGGAAGAAGAAGAAGAAGAAAAGGAAGAAGAAGAAGAAGAAAAGGAAGAAGAAGAAGAAGAAATAGGGTAGCATACAAGAGTGGTTGGATGGGCGATAGATCGATACCGACGACCTAGCGACAGCACGTCAGGAACAGGAACTCATGTTGTCTCCATTGTATTCGATTCAAGGGTAGCGAGCGACAGGGGACGAGACGCACTTCAGCTTCCGGGTGCTCATCGCCAAAGTCCATGGCCCAGATGCCAGTGCCTGTACCGAGGTCCAGCACGCGGCCGACCTGGGCGCCGGGTTGGATGGAAGGGGCAAGACCCAGCTTGCCGTCGAGAGTCAGATAGAAGATGTGATGTTGAAGGTCTTTTGTTGCAATGCGACGGGGGCATAGGTTGTTAGCGAAAGACGGTCCCTCGGTTCCATCACCAAAGAGGGAAAAAAAGAAAAAGAAAAAAAAAAAAAAAAGTCGGGGTGTAGAGCGGCGCTCACCAAGTCGCTCGGTCTCCATCTCGTCGTTGGGGAAATGGTACTCTATAAGGCGAGGGAAGATGAGGTGTCGCGTCAGCTCCTAGAACCACGGCGCATGGGGGAGGCGGGAGAGCGAGAGGACCAAAAAAGGTCAAAGGCGGTGACGAACTTCCATCGCGAAAGCGGTGATATGTCCTCCCATTCTCTTCTCTGTATTCGAGGATCGAACTCCTTAAGCTGGCGGTGGAACTGGAAGCATCCTATTTACGACGGAAGGGCGACGCGTAACAGGTCGTCAGTCGGTTGAGGAAGAGGGGATGAATGGCAAGAGAGGGAGTATGGACTTCACATACCGCGCCGTCGTCGCCGATGGAGGAATCGTTGTCATCGACATCGTCGGGTTCCACGATGACGTTGCTGCTGGTTTCGGGGTCGACCATTTTTTTCCCTTTTTTTTTTCTTCTTCCCCCCCTTTTTTTTCCTTTTTCCTTTTTGCTCTGTTTTATTGTGCCGTCGACAGACAAAAGGCCGGCTCTCTTCTGATTCTTCAAGCCCGTCAAAGTGAAAGAAAATCGTCCAGAAACGATAAAAGACGTTCAGTATGCAAAGGCTGTCCGTCAGTTGTCAGTGTCAAAGAGGGGAGAAAAATAATGAGATGACAATCAACAGCCGAACAAACAAGGTCGTACGAAAGCACGGGTATCCGTGTGCATATAACATGACCGTAACCTCTTTCGTACTCGGACCATGTAGAGGTGGTGGCGGAGTGGGAGTGGGGATTCGAGCCGGGGTCTAAGGGAAGCCCGACGACCAGGACCATGGATGATCTACGCGAACTCCACCCCCCATTCTTTGTCTCACTCTTCTTTCGTTCGTTCGTGTAGTGAGTGTCGGCATCTCATCTCCCTCGGCCTCGTGGTAGGCCGTGGGTCTTGTCTCGCTCCCGGGACCGCTGGAACGGCTGGAACGGCAAAGCATGTTATTAGCATGGCATGCCCCCGACAACGTATCTAGTCCGTAGTCACGGTTCCATCAAGACATGCGGGGGGATGCGAGCTCCAGAGGTCCCCGGTCCCATTAGTTCAGGGACCCTCTTCCTCTCTAAGTGTACAACGTACTCCTCCCCCTCTGAAGACCCACGGGGAAGGATGCAATCTCCTTTCGCCTCGTTGGACAAATCAGAGGACAAATCAGAGGACCAATCTGGATGGGCCCCAGTTCACGAGCCAACATGATAAGACCTCTCTTGTCTTGGACCACCGACATCGCTGGATGAACGTCGAAACGGACCACAACGGCGGACCGGGTTTCCTCAGCCAAGGGGCGAGAAGAGATGGATCGAAGAGCCGGCCCGCTCCTTCAGTAGGAAGGACGGACGGTGTAGGGGTGTACGTTGTAATTATGTGCTCTCTGCTTTTGGGGGGGGGCCGATGGACCATGCATGAGTCGATCGCGTAGTTGATCGGTAAATCCCGAAGTGAAGGATGCAAATGTGGGTGCTGGGAAGTTTGTTGGGCGATTGTGTTGGTGCGTGTGGGAACGAGTGCGTGTGGGTGGGTGTGGCCGTGGGCGTGACACGTTGAGCAACGGTTGGATCCGTTGTCCGAGCACCGTCGAAGCGTATATAGCGATATAGATATAGCGAGTGGTGTGGCCGTGCATTTAAACGATTGATGACTGTGCCGCTACTCCCACAGTGTGATATGTGTATCCCCTTTCACACTTAACACTGTGTATTCCATATTACATAAGCAATCGTGACACCAACATCGAAACCATCCCAGGTGAAAACCGACCAACAGACACAACACCATGGACTTGACAAAAGAACTTTAGACGAATGGAAGATGACCTGCGATCACCTCTATATACACGTTATACAAGTTCTTGCACTCCCGACGCCCCATCTAACTCAGCTCCCCCGAAATGTACCCGATCTGCCGCCTTCCATTAGCTCCCACCCCGGCCAACTGCCCCGCCAACCCAGACTGACTCTCCACAAGCCTCCTCTGCTCCGTAATCCGCCGGTTAACGCGCTCGTTCTGCTCCCGATCCATCCGATCCACGTCCTCCCGCTCCGACACCCGCAGCGCGCTCATCGCCTTGGCGTGCTCCACCCGCTCCGCCGCCATCTTGCGCTCCCACTCGATCCCCTGCGCCTGCCGCCGCCCCTCCATCTCCACCTCCTGCCGCGTCCTCGCCGTCGCCGCCGCCGTCAACGTCCGCTGGTGCGCCGCCTCCGCCGCTCGTTCCTCCTGCCGCAGCCGCATCGCCGCCAGGAACCCCGCCTCCTCGGCCCGCGCCCGCTCGCCCATCGCCGCCATCTCCTCCCCCTGCGTGCGCCGTCGTCGCCCGTCCTCCAGCTCCGCCTGGTGCGTCCAGATCTGCGCCTGCACCGCCGCCAGCGACCGCGTGCGCGCCAGCGAGCGCTCGTGGTCTTCTTGCTCGTGCGCCAGCCGCGCCAGCCGCGCCCGACGCTCGCGCTCTTGCAGCGCCAGGTCGTCCGGGAGCCCCGCCGCGTCGTCGGGCTGCGGTCCCGCGTTGGCGTAGTAGACGTCTTCCCCCCTGTTTGCACGCAGGAGGGCCACTAGTGGGTCGCGGACCTCCGACGCCGGGAGCGCTTTTGCCACGTACATCGTCGGCGAGTACGTGTACGTGTGCCCGCCGCCGCCACCGTCCGTGTACAGGTTGAACTTCCTGTTCACGTGTTTCCACATGCCGCACTTGAGGAGCAACCGGGTTGTCGTCAGGGGGTCTCGAGACTCCAGCGCGAGGTGCAGGATCGACTTGCCCGCGACCTTGAGAGTCATGTCCGACCCCTTCTCGATGAGAAAGCCCATCACCTTCTCCGCCGTCTTCTCTCGCGCCGCAGTGAACTCGCTCGAGTCGGCCGCGCGAAGACACAACTCGCCCAACGCACTTCGTCCGTCGTGCAAGTGGCTGGGGAAGTCCGGATCATGCCCGTATTCGACGAGGACCTGCACCGCCGGCAAGTTGAGTTCGCGCGCCGCGTTGTGCAGGGACCCGTCGTCCCGCGACGCCCCCGCCGCGAGGAGGCTGGACATGATGGTGATCGCCAGCTCTCCCCCGATATCCGTGGCCATGGCCAACGGGGTATCCCCCCCCGCATCGGCCACGTCCACTTCGGCCCCTTCGAGTAGCAGCCTCTTGACAATGTCTGGTCTGCGCGCCTGGATCGCTGCCATGAGCGGTGTGACACGCGACACCCGCGTCTCGACGTTCACTTTTGCCCCTGCTTCGACGAGAACGTGGATGACGTTGCTGCTGATTTTCTTCTGGGGTTGCAACAGCGACCATGTCAACAACGTGACGGTTTCTTCCTCGTCCTCCTCCAGACCAGGCGCTACGTGGAAAACCGTCATCTGGTCGTGATAAAATCCTGCATCCAGGAGCGTCCTCACAACCCTGGTCGACCTTGGATATTGCGCGAGTGCCAGGAACAAGATGGGCGATATGCCCGGCATCGTGTACATAACATCCAGACGAGTTTCTCCGTCGCCATATTCCGTGAACAGAGAAATGAGCTGGAGCGCGTCATCTTCGGCCAGCGCTGTGTCAAAGACGCGATAAAAGGCCCGAGACAGCGTCTCGGCCCGCGGTTTCTTCTCCAACAGCCTCTTGATCAAGACCACGTCGCATGCTGACGTTGCCGATATCAGTAGCTTCCCATCCTGGTAATCGACGTCGACATCGTGCGCAGAAAGGAGGTCAATGAAGCGGTTCGCCAGCTCTGGTCGTTCGCCGTCCGACGCCATGTCGAGCACAAGGGCCAGTACGGAACTAATCCCCTCCCCCCGTGCGCCCTTGTCGAGCATACTCTGCAAAACGAGAAACCCCTGCTCGTCGAACCACGTCCCGGCCGTGTCTTTGGTGAAACTCTGCCGAATCACCAAGCTCACGTCGTCGCCCGATACGTCTGCCGCCTCGAGCAATAGGCTTACGATCGACGGAGAGCACCTATTCGCTGCGTCGACCAACGTCCGCCGGCCCCTCGGGAGAGGCGAAGCGCCGTGCCGGACAAAGGCTTCGATGAGCTTCTCGTCCGGCACTTCCTCGTTGACCGCCTTGTTCAGCGCAATGTGGAGTTCCTCGCAAACCGAGAGGCCGGCTTGGAAAAGCATCTCGACGACGTCGAGCCGGGGCCGTGCGCCTAGTTTTCCGGAAGCTTGTAGAGCTCGCTTGAGCGTAGCGGCCGTAGGCTTCGGGTGCTGTCAGAATGTCAGTCTTCCAATTTTTTCCTCTACGCATACGGTAAAAAAGGGACGAGCGTGCTCAACCTACGTCGGTGTCCCCAGCATGAGCTGTGCCGAGCATCATCTCCAAACTCCCCAGGTATGCGCTCTGCGTGGCCGCCCAGACAGCCTCGCCGTTATAGTAGTTCGGGTCCGCACCGGCGCGAAGCAGGATTCTCACCAGATCCTCGCCGTCGGCCCCGAACCGAACGGCCGAGACGAGCTGGCCGTTCAGCGCATCACCGCCCACACCGCGAGCCAACAGAGGCGCAAGAACCGCCGCACGTTTCTTGAGGTCGCCCACCTCGGTGGCCGCTTGGAATCCTCGCCCCAGCGTCTTCTCGTCGACGATGGACGCATGATTTTTATCGCCGCTGAGAAGCATCGCCAAAACGTCGGCGGCGCCGGAGCGGCAGGCTTGGATGACGGCCTGCTCATCGACGCCGACACCGTGGCTCACGAGCAAGTTGCCCAGCACCAGATCCCCGTCCGCAGCAGCAGCTCGGAGGGCGTCCGACGCAACCGCACCGGATGCGCCGTGTTTCAGGAGAAGGGTGCACATCAGCGCGCGTAGTTCCTTGTCGTGGCTTTTGATCGCCTCGGCAAACGCAGTGTTTACGGCGCTGCTGGGGTGCATTCGTTGCAGGACCAACTCGAGTATGTCAGGCCGCTCTCGCCGTACCGCTGCCAGGAGAGCCTCGCCGTCAGCCGTGTCGGCCTTTTTCGACAGGGTCCGTAACAGCGGCATGTCGTCGGTGTACGTCTTGATGGCGAAACCCAGGGCGCGGTTTGCTTCAGCGCTCGGCGCGCCCGCATCCAGCAACTTCTTGGCAAAGGTCAGTCGGTCCATGGCATCAGCAATGCGAAGGGCGTGGGGCAAAGCGTATGCCAGGGCAGCGGCGTTGGGCTTCGCAGCGCAAAGCAGGTCCGTGAGATGTGCGTCTGCGGCGGAGACGGCATGACAGAGAGCCGCCGCATTATGGGCGTTGACATTCGCGCCTGACAACAAGAGCACCTTTATGATACACGGATTTCGGTTCTCGGGGGAAGTATGAATGAGCGAATGGACTTCTTTTACTAAAATATCGTCAAGAAGCGCCGTCTCTTTGGTGTATCGTAAGAGAGTCTGCAGCTTTGCCGCCTTTTTCTCGCAAGACGGTAGATGCGACAGCTCGCTGAGTCCCCGACGTGTCGTGGCTGGTGAAGGATTACCCTGCTTCAACAGCATGTCAAGGACCGGGGGGTCGTGGTTACGAATCGCTGCCAGCTGTCAGCCATTGTCTTATTCTCTTGCTACACAGTTGCACAGCAGAGAGGGCGAGTGGAACATACCTGTAGCGACGACAAGGCCTTCGTTGCTGTTGATATCAGCACGACCCTGGTGCAGGAGCACCTGGAGTAATCTCATATCGGGAGGCTTCAACTCCAAGACATGGATAAGGGCCAGAGAAATCTTGGCCGGATCTGTGCCTGGCACGGAGCTGAGAATCAGGCTGGTCATCTCGAGCCTCGCTCTAGGATCCACCACGGTGGTAACGACGGTCGGGAGTATTTCCACGGCGGTTTGAGGGGAGACATTCTTTTGGAGCAATGCTGCTAGGAGGTTGATATCCTTCTGCTGCACGGCTGCCGCCAGAGGCCCGGCACTCGATTTGACGTCGGTGGTGTACTTGAGGAGCAGCGCAATGAGATTTTCGTCTCGCTGCGGCGGCTTCTCGCTGATGGCCTCCTGGAGAGCCTCCTGCACGGTCGTCTCCGGTAATCCCTTGTCCAGAAAGCACTCGGCGATATTGAGCCTGTCGGAAGGTGGCAAAGTTTTCGTCTCGTGAAAAACGCTGGTCATGGTGTCGCTGCTAAGATTGCTGGCAAGCATTTGTCTTGTCATGGGGACGTCGCATCTCCTGACGGCAATCTGCAGGGCTAGCCCGCCCTTGTAGTCCACAGAAGCTACTTCGTGGCTCTGCGGGCTGAGAAGCAAAGCGACGGATCCGACATCACCGTCCTCGGCAGACCCAATCAGTTTCTCGTGCAAGGGGTTCCCGCTGGCTCCTCTTCGCAGTAAAAGATCGAGCAGGAGATGTCCATGGTCACGGCCCATGTGCCTGGGGATGAGCCCAACGCACTCGGAAGCTTGTATTGAGCTCAGAGGCGACTTCCCGCTGAGCATAATCTGAGCCACGTCCACCCGTCCGTTGGATATAGCTTTGCGCAAGGCCAGGGCGTCTCTGTATGCAATGGAGGCCCCGTGGGCGACTAGGACGTGAACCATTTCGAGAGACTCGGTCGTCGCGGCATCAAGAAGAGCAAGCGCAGTGGAATCGCCATGGGGGCCGGCACATAGCAACAATTCAGCCGCCCGCGCCTTCTCGTTGGGGTTCATGGAGGCATGGCCCATCAACTGGGCGAAGGCCTCGTTGAGAACCTGTCCCTGCGGCGGGTTGATGCCGGCGATAATGGCTAGCACAATGTCATGCCGCGAGTGCAAAATGGCCGTGTTCAAAGCCTCCCCTTGGTTGAGGTTCCCGTCCGCGGCCGATCGACTCAGGTGCAGGACGGTTCCGAGGCAACCCGCACGAACGGCATCTATCATGCATTGCGACAGCCAGGATACAGAGGGCCGGCCTCCGGACCGCAGAAGGAGGCTGACCAACTGCGGTTGACCGCCCGAGGCACACAGGTCGCGAAAGGCATCCTGGCCGTCGGCCGTGGAGGCAGCGCCAGCGCCAGCGCCGTACCGGAGGAGCAGCTCGACGATATCGGGATTCCTTTCTTGGATGGCGATCGGAAGAGAGGTATCGAGAGCCACGGCATCGGCGTGAGGTAGCAGGACGGCAACCATGTCGGGCTGGTTGTTGGTGACGGCTTGCTGCAACAACCTGCTCCGTTCGCCGAGGGTCTCCAAGCTCCGACGACGGCTAAGGAGGCCGGTCTTGGGCTTCTGCGGAAGGTTCACGTCACCGCCGGAAGCGAGAAGGAGTTTGATCAGCGACTCGGCAACTCCGGGTCTCCCGCAGTGGGCGACATGACTGTTGAGGGCATCGAAGACCAGCCTGGGATCGTAGGCTTTCTTCTTGGAACTGAAGGCCTTTCTCAGATTCCCAGTGGATTCGGTGCGTCCGTGGGAGAGCTGCCTCCGCTTGACAAGCTCCTCTGCGTGAAAGTCGTCGTCTGCATTCCTGAAGGTCGGTGGATGGGAAGGCCGTGTGAGCGGAGAAGGAGCGGGAGGCAAGACAATGCCCCATTGATGAGCCAGCTCAGCGATACGGTGGTGGTACATGGAAGCCTCGGTTGGAGCTTCGAAGCAAGCAATGTACAGAGACGACAGTATTTTCCGAAAGAGCGAAATGTTCTAGGTCCTCCGCCGTGAAATGGATAATGTAATCGTCACTCAGGTCATAAAATCAGAGCTCATGATAACGGTAGTCCGTATAGCTATATATCAGTCTTCAACGAGTGACCGAGCCTCGTCATGCAAGACAAGACAACAATGGAGTAAGGGCAAGATTAGCCCAGTCTTCTCAACATCAAATAAACAACAATGGAGAGAATAAAACGAAGGTGGATTGGTGCGAGAATGAAATACAAACTGAGTCAAAGGACGCGGGGGGAGAGTCGTGGTGCAGGGAGGAAGTTGAGGATGGCAGCGGTAGCGGTAATACCATAGGGCAGCAAGGAGGATGACGAACATAAGGTACGTTGTACAAAGACTGCGCCTTGTTAGGGTGGGTCCAGTAGCGCCATAACACGCCGGCTGTTTACCGCCGCCACCATCATTTCTTACCTAAGCAGCTAATGTGAAGGACCAAAAAATAAGACAATTATCGCAGCATTATCAGATCGTCTCGTGCATATACATGCAAAAAAAGAACAAAAAATAAACAGGTCATCGTACACGAGACTCGAACTCGTAACTTCCAGCTTAGGAGGCTGGCGCGCTACCATTGCGCCAGCACGACATGACATTCTCTACCGATAGTCCTTCTACGCCTATCAGAGTGCCTATAACCAGCGGGTCTACCGATACTGCCACCAGCGATCATGAGCCACCTTACAGAACCCACCTGATTGATGTTGACATGTCGACGTCCTGAGACTAACTTCCATTTGTCTTATATCCGGCTGATATTTATTTCAAGTGTATAGTAGAGCACCAATTCCCCTCAATTGACGAGATGAATCAAGGATACGGCTTTCCTGGTATTCGTATATATTGCCTCTATCGCATAGGCAGGACCACGATATAGTCCATAGGAGATCCAGGGGGGATCCACTCTATAACTAAGGGCTCCGGATATCGGGGACTTCGGGCATTAGGATATAATAAGGGTGGATACCGGAAAAGACCGGATAGGATCTAAATGATATAGTACCCATAACAGAGTCTTTACCACCTAAATTAAGGGCATAAGAGACTCTCCTAGATATAACTTAATATAATATATATACACGAGATTTCTACTCTACTAAGTTAATTATTTAAGTGCCTTTTAACGTACGATAGTTATAAGCCCGGTTTATAATACCTAAACGATAGATATTAATAAGGCTACCCCTATTCTACTATAAAGAAGTAATTATATCTATATAAGCACTCTTAAATAACTACTATTAGCCTAATTAGAGTAATTAAGAGATTAATTAACCTACCTATTAATTAACTAACCGATAAACGATAAACTAGTAAAGATATCTTCTAATATATCTAACGCTGAATAAAAGGCGGCCGCTATTACCCTTATTAACTAAAGGGATTAGGCGGTTTAGGAGCGCGCCGTACGCGGTAAATCGGCCTCCTACTAGGATAATTACCTTAATCTAAAGCTAAGCGATAAAGAGGCTAACGCCTATCTCCTCCCTATACCTATACCCCCTAATATTCGTAAATACAAAGCCCTCGCCGTGGACCCTAACGCGGAGGAGGCCACGGCTACCACTATCACGGCTACTCCGTCTTCTACTATCACGCTAGAGGGCGATAAGGCCACGGATACTATAGAAGCCACGGCTACTACGGCCGCTACTATAGCCGCTACTATAGCGGCCACGGCTATAGGTAAGAAGAAGACGGCCGCCCGCCGGAAGGCTATAGCCGTAACGAAAGAACTACTGACTAAGACGCTTACGTCTATTAACGACCTCTCTAAAAAAGGGCGTACGCGCTACTTATAAGATCGCCGCGTACACCACGAGGAAAAGGCAGACTACGACGCGTAGTAGAAGGAGTTTAATAAAGTACACTCTTATATTAAAGGGACCGTTTATACTATATTATGTAACCTCCTCGCCTAGCTATAGGATAATACCGTAAATAACCCACGGGCTTAGATTACTCTCCTACACGCGTATATAGGACCGATACCTATAGACCTCTATAAGGAAGCCCTAATCCTATACCGATAATATACTACGCTAATAAAGGTTATACCTAAGGATATAGACGCCTGGGTAATAAGCTAGAAAATAGCGATAATACACTATAAATATATAGGCGTTTTAGAACTATTAAGCGCGGATTATTAGGCAGAAGACGCGTTGAAAGCCGTTAGACCTATTACCTAGGAATAGAGTAATAACTACCTAGTAAATAACTATAATAAGATTACGGAAAACGAACTAACGATTAACGATTTCGTAAAGGCTTTATGAGCGGTTCTTAGTAATATAAAGAGCCTATAATCCACCGCTATAAAGCCTAGAGTTAGGAGAGGCACCTTTAATACCCTTAGGAACCTCCCCGATACTAAGGATACTACTAATAACGATAATAATAAGAAGCGCCCTCGTAGTAACACGTCCGTAAAGGCTATCCCTCCCGTAGCGAGGAGGCCTTACGAGATATATAAGACTACCTATACTACCGTCGCCTATTAGTACGTGAGGCCGGATATACGCCCTTATACCTAGCATGGCTATAAAGATATTATAAAGGTTGCGGAAAAGAAGATACGTATTTATAGTTTTAAAAGCCGCGTAGACACCGCGATATAGAAGAGGCGGGAAGTAATAGCTACCACCGCTAATAAGATAGAGGAAGTCTAGGAAGATTAACTCTATAATACTACGCCTACTACTATAGTTTATAAAAACCTGTCCGTTACCGCGATAGGGAGACTAAGAGCCCCCCTAACCTAGGGGGTAGCGCGTCGTCGTATAACGATACTATTAAGATTATAATAAGAATAAGGGATATCCCTTTCTATTAACTAAGCCAGAGCGCTATTATACTACGCGATCCTAGACTTAGGATCGTTAATCTATATCCTTAATAATCGAGGCCGTTTTACAGCCGTTAGATTACCCACGGTTAATTTATTAACGCTTTAGGTGGGTACTTATAAGGCTCCTATCCTCGGATACGGAGACGTTACGCTACGTGTATAATCCTTATCGGGCATAAAGAGGCTATTACGCCTCCGTAACGTCGTATACTATAAGGAATTCGTCACTAATATCGTCTCGGAATACTAGCTACGCCTATAAGGTTACCGCTAGGATACCGTAAATAATACTATCGTTAGCTCCGCTGATAACTAGCCTATTTATAAGCTACTAGATATCCACGGCTAGTATATAATTAAGCGCGCGAAAGCCACGGCCGCTACCGTGTCCGCGGTCTTAGTAAGGCACCCCCGCGATAACCCGTATAGAAGATTATAATAACCGCGGTAACTGTAGAAGACGACGGTATAACGGTGGTATAAACGCCTCGGCTATTACGGTACCGATACTCTCGTAAAGATCATCGACGCTACTTAGGGGGTAAAGATAAAAGGACCTCGTATAATAGACTATAACGCGTATAGGTAATCGTAAGTGCCTACGTAGATCTGGCGGATACTATCCTTTTACCTGTTAAAGCCCGGAGAGGCCCTAGCTATTAATTTTCACGATCTGGAAAAGGCAGAGTAGGTAGCGGGCGGACTATATAAGTCTATTATATTCGTTATAGACGTGTATATATGTTATACGTGGGATTACTACCTATAAAAGAGAGACTAAGGCTCTATCCTGCATGCTCTAAAGGACGTTTTTACCCTACTTAAGACCTAATTCGATATTAGGCCACGCGTTTTACGGGCCGATTCTAAGATATTTTCGTACTTAGAAGTTAGTACTTTCCTCGCTGCTAAGGGGGTAAAAGGCTAGCCGTCGACACTATATTTATAGAATTAGAACGGCGTTATAGAATGGATTAAAGGTATCGTTAAGAGAAGGGCGAGGGCTATAAGGATTAAAGCTAATCTGCCTATATCTATCTAGTCTAAGATCTTTAAGACTGCCATATATCTATATAATAAAACGCTATAATATATTAACGACTAGCGAACGCTATATAAAGGCCTACACGGCCGTTAACCTAACCTTACGCACCTATAAGTATACGGCTATAAAGCCTTATAAAAACGCGCGATGCCTGAGCTAAAAGGAACCGCCTATAAAGGCTAGAACCGAAAGTATAGATCGGTTATCACGTCGGATACTAATCCTCGAATAGCTTCCGTATTTAGCTACTACACCTAACGGATATTATTACCACGAGAGACGTAGTCTTTAACGAAGATAAGATATTTAACGGTAGGATTAAAACGCTATAAGCCACGGCTTCCGCCGAGGAAATCGGGGAACGCCTATAATCTATCCGTATCACCTAATCTAATAAGACCGCGAATAGACTGCTATTAAGGGGTATAGCCGTAAACGTATTAGATCTTAAGTCGGAAGACTCTAACGCTACCGTTATTACTACGGGTAAAGGTAACGCTACTGCTATTACTACGGATAAAGGCGAGGCTATCGCTATTACTATAAGAGAGGCTACTACTATTACTATAGACTATACCGCTATTACTACGGGCACCGCTATTACTACGGACACTTCACGGTTTACTACTATAAGGTTTAAACCGTTTCCCACGCCTCTAATATCCCAGGAAGATCCCGCACGCGTATTCCTTATAGCATTAGCGGTAGTTAGGGAAATTAAGGTAGAAGAACACGATAACCACTAACGGATAGCCGCGGATACCCTTAGGGGGTGCCTATCGGCCACACGCCCGTCGGCAGCACGCCTATCTATCACAAGAACTATCATAAGTCTATACACGACCGAGAAGGTCTAGAACGATAACGCCTAGAAGACGTTTTTTAATGCTAGCAGGACTTATAACTCTACACGTACGAGGAAGTAAGCTATTAACGATAACGACGTCGATACTATAGATTCCCCTTATACCTCCTAGCCGCTATCGCTATCGTATATAACCCGTGAGGATCTCCCGCCTCTACTAAACCACTACCGCGATATACGCCTTTATCCGTTATGGGAGCGGTGGTTATAGGCCGAGGGGGAATACCTTAAAGGGCACCGATAAATAGGCTACTAGTAGAAGGTAGGTAGTAATTAGGCTAATAAGTAATAAGTCCTCGCCTATAGATAGATATATACCTATAAATTTAATAAGGAGGGCACCCTCCTTAAGTGTAAGGCACGCCTTATAGTCCGAGGGGATTATATCAAGGAATAGGCTATAATACTAGGGAAAAGGTACACCGTAGCGGATAATACTATTAGGCTTAATAGTCGTATATTTCTTAAGACTTTAACTTAAGGGAAAAAAGGGGATTTTTCCCTTTACGCTAACGTGGCGATTCTAAGGTTTTCGCCGAACGCTCGGCGGCCCGAGCCTATCTCCGACTATATATAGTGCGAATCCATAATGCTACTCCGTTCCTTACACTACCCCCTCTTTAACGGGGCTAGTCTCTTAGGCCCGTTCTATCCCCCCCTTACTGGGCAGAATATACGTATAACTCTAGCCTTATATAAACTCCGCTATCCGGTCAGCGCTTATAATTAGTCGGCCCGGTAAGGCTTTATACCTCCTTCTAAAATATTACGACTTCTTTCCACGTATTATTAGGTAATCGGTAAACCGTTAGCGGTAATTATATAGCT